AGACCGGGAGACCAGACGCGCGCATTATCCTCGCCAAAACGAGCCACACGATGCTTTGGTCTCGTTGTTTATAGGCGGCCGCGAATCGTTGCTAATTATGTAATAACCAGACACGGTGTCGAGAGTGACGAGCGTGCGCTCGTTGCTGAGCAACGAAGGGAAGAAACGCCCGAGAGAGACGACAAAATAAAATGTATACAATACAAATATTATTATTATTCCCTCTCTCTCTCTCACACACATTTTATTGCTATTGTGCCCTTAATCGGTTCGATAATCTTTTTAGTAACATGTTTTTATACTATCGTGAACCAGGATTAAAACGAGCAATTTTATAAAAAATAAATTTCTTTTATAAAATAACTCACTTTCAAATGAAGCAAATTTTCTTTGAATTTTGACCTCACTGGACTTTCATTTAATTTGAAAGAAATGATTTCTTTACCTCAATTAAAATTTTATTTGACTGAAACTGAAATCTCTGACAAGTGAATATCCATTTCTTCCTATCCAGCAAATATTTTAATAAAAATTTGGTAGATTCGAGGAAACGTGATTTCAATGTATCCCATTTGCTTAACCGAAATAAGTCTTTTTTTCCGTGCGCGAGAAAGAGAGACGTAAAAGTATGCGTAGAGACGCGTTCATAAGGTTGTATCGTTAGATTTTTTTTCGCGATTCCCCGGTTCGGCGCGACACGCTGTATTATTTATTTCCTTCGACTTTGAAAATTTTATCGCCGCGCGGAGTTTATGATACCGTTATCGCGCCAAGTCCGCGTTACGTCGCAGGCTTGAAAATCACGTGGCCATATTTAGCGATGCCTAGCGCGAAACGCGGGCTTAATATTTAATTCGGCGCGATTAGCGCGCAAACTCTGGACAAATCTCCCGTAATGCTCCGCTATAATTCACCTCCCCTTCGCGGAGCCTCGCGAAAACGCGGGCGAAAGCGCAGATCGCGGCGCGCAAAATCTGTCCGACTATTCGCGGCGTCATCTCCGACGTGAGTCACTCCTATGAATAGATCCCCACCTTTCGCCTTCGTGCGCGCCGACGATCCGAGCCGCGATGTCGATGTCGTCGTCGTCGTCGCAGCCGCGGCCGCGCGATCCGCCCGAACGGATCCCTCTGTCCGCGTTCTCCACCTCGGGACCTCCAAAACCTCCCCCAACCCTCGGTTAATCTCGCGACATTCACGTGGAAAATGAATGGAGCATGACTCACCTCCCCAATCTTGCTAATTTACGCTCGCGTGGCGTCACGTTCGGCGTCTGCGACTCTGTCGTGGATGAAAGTTGCGTTTATCCGCTCGATCCTCTGAATGTCATTACGTGACAACGCGAGTTTGAGTCTGGCATTTTGCGTCTAGGCGGTCGCGAGGATTTTTAATTGTGCGAAAAGGTGCCACTTTTTCGAGTCTCGTCGGCAGTTTTTATGCGAGAAAAGACGCGCGGAATCTAAAATAAAATTATGCCCCGGCGCTGCTTACGCTAGTGAGAAAGAAGTGAAGCGGAAATATGAAGTGGTGAAAAAGAGAAATAAAGACAAGGGGAAAGCAGTATTGAAGTAAAGCGACATTAAATTATTTTTCTTCGGTAAATGTCAGGCTAAGAAGTAATGCTTGAAACGGGAAAGGAGCAAATTTAACCCCCCCCCCCCCTCCCATATTTAAATCTTTTCCGAACGGTCTATTTTCGGCCACCCATCCTCCTTCATTTCAGCTTAAAACAGCGCCCCGTGATAAAACAAGATTTACGAAGAGGAAGATTGATGGCAGAAACACGAGATGGACGGGAGCTGCGAAACACACTTTTACGAAAACACAATAATTTGATAATGTTGTACCTCTCTCGTTAAAAAAAGGGGGGTACGAGACTACGAAGAATTGAGGTGTATAATGAGTGTAAAAATGGCAGCGGAGAATGATCGACGTAAAAGTTTCGACGCGCGATTGGCGGGCCGGCAGAAATATCATGCTCGCATCATCGTTATTTCCGAAAACCAGAGACTCGACTCCCACGTAGAGGACCGGATAGACGACAAACAGAGAGCACGCCCGTGTTTCGCGGCCGCCTTCAGCTTTTGTAAACAAATACCGCGCTGCGAGAAAAAATTATGGAGGACAGATCGTTTATCCTTGGTTGAAAACTCCGGTGACGATTTATTTTGAATTTATGGACCTCGCGCTGACGAAAAATCCATTGTGTCGACAAATTTCAGGACTTTTAGATTACTTTTAGTAGATGGGGAAGGTGGCGAGGGATAAGGAAGAGAGGGGAAGAGGGGAGAGGGAGAGAGAATGAGAGAGAGAGGGAGGGGCAAATCTAAGCAAATAGTGTCTTTTATGAAGATGATTAAGAAAGGCAATAGGAAGCGGAAGTCCCGGAGAGGAGGAGACGTGTGCGTGTGTGCACGCGATAGAGAGGGGGAGCGAGAAAACTCGCAAACCCTCGAAATCTATAGTTCAAGTCGTAGATTTAAGTTTAGACTAAGTTTTAGACTAAGTTGAACAATGTAACGTGTAGAGATTGTAACCCTAAGGGGAACACAATAAAGTTTACTGTTATTGTTATTATTGTTATTATTGATTACTTTCAAATTATTGCGTCAAAATCCCTTTATCTGCGAGTTAGTTCGCTAATTCCACTGATCATGTTAATCTTGAGGATCCCTCAACCATCTTTTTTACCGACACAGTCAAATATAGTTTTTGCGCTTGTTCCTTTTATTGCCTTTTGTGTACAAAGTAACGCCAGAATAAGTTGCGGACCGAATAGCGGAACACTTACCTACTTGAAACACTCACTTCAGAAATCTAATTAAAAAATTGGTGTTTAAAATTTTCAATTTGTAGTTTGTGTTAAATTTGAAGTTGGCTTTAGAAAAGTGCAAAATTCTTCCACAAAATTAAAATACGCATAAAGACAAAATCAGGGACAGTCGACTTTATATAAAAAACGAAGAGAAATTAAGAATATCTCACTTTATAAGTGAGTGAGGTTAGCTAACCTGGAAAATTTCAAATACCAATTTTTTTATTAGACTTCTGAACTGAGTGTTTTAAGTATAACAATGTTCTGCTATACGATCCACAACTTATCCTAGTATTATTTTGTACATAAAAGCCAAATTGTACAAAAAAAATCAAAAGAATTACAAGCGCAAAAAACTATATTTGACTGTGTTGGTAAAAAAGATGGCTGAGGGATCTCTTAACAGATTTGAATTGTAAGATGTTTCAAGTTCCGTATACCTCGAGATATACACGGGGCGAGCATTTTTTCTTCAAATTTATCCTGAAAATCACGTGATACTAGGACAACATAGCATTTTGAAGAGTTTTATGAGAGTGTTTGAAAGTTTATCAGACATTTTACTGTAGAATGCATGGTAAAAACTCTCGTAAAGTTTTTCAACATGCCAAGTTGTCCCACGATCACATGATTTTACTAGTAAAATGTATACTAAATACAATTATACTAGTGAAATGTATGGTACAGTTTCAATGAACTTTCATAAAATTCTTTGAAATGCTGTGTTGTCCCACGATCACAATATTTTCAGAATAAATTTTAAAAGGAAATTCCCTCTGTGTACGTAATATCGCAATATGCGTAGAAAAATTTGTTAATACGATAACAATGCTGTTTTATATTTTTCTAATGCCGGCGGCGATCGAATGAAAGCCGACGAGCGTGAACTCGGATCTTCGGCTCATTAAAGCAGTGCACATTTCTCTGCCGCAATCGTCACAAAGATGTCTTGCTAATGTGTGTGGGTCATCCGATATCTTCGGATACCATTATCTTACCATTATCAGTTGTACTATATTTGATAGCGCAAGAATCGTACCTAGGAAAGTTAATTTACAGCAAACGTAGTAATAACTATAGGTACGTTCCATTTATCGCATCGTCTGTCCTTATTTAACGTTCGCTAAACGACAAGGATGAAATAATTCCAAGAGAGCGTTACGAGCGTTAAATGGAACGTGCTCTTTAAAGGTTTGTTACACGAGACACGTTACGAGTAAAGGCCTGTGTCCACGATGCTAGAACTTGATCCAAGTTCAGTTTCGAGAAATGTGTAGCCAATCAACTTGCAGTTATTCCATACAAGCTGCAAGTTGATTGGCTACACACTTCTCGGAACTTGGACCAAGTTCTAGCATCGTGCACCTTAACACACGAGTCCCTAGTTTTCAATTCGACTGTTTAGTTGTGTTTTACAATCTGCTTTCGGGGGCGACGCAGTTGATATTAAGTAAATATTTATAAATATACTCGATTTCTCCGAAAAAATTACGTGTTCCTTTTTAATGAAAGGATTCAGCGTTCAGATAATTTTTGCAACAGCAAGAACAATTTTCTAGGTACAAAAAGATAACCGAGATATATAAACGATAGCCAATACTGCGAAATCGCAAATGTTTTGCATCTAATCAATTTACAATAAATAACGGAAACAGAATTTCTATCTGAACTGTTAGCAAATGTTAGGAAGAAAGTCTTTCTGTGGCGCCCATCCATTATAACGTTTAATTGTGGTACATACATAAACAGTTACGTTCCTTACGAAGATTGTTCTAGCTATGGCACCGAAATTCATTTTTATCCAATATAGCGATCAATGAAATTCATGAAACCTACACTTTCAGAAGGTATTACTAGAATGTTGCTGCTACAAATTTTGTAGGCTACAAACAATTTCCTAACAGATACACCAAATAGCGATAAATTTTTGTTGCGACACTTTGAAATCTACCTTTTTTTTGAGTGAACGCAAAAGAAAAAACTAGAGAAGGGAAAGAAGGTGGCGCTTGCAATACAGAGAAAGATCGGTGTCGCCACCCGTTACGTGATATCCGTGAATCGTGATATATCGTGGGATACGAAAGCTCCATTACGATTGAATAAAATTGCCCCATCTCTGCCGATTTATAAGGCAGCACGTCGGTCGAAGGCGCGCAAAAAAAACCCCCCTCAGAAGGATACTCACCGATTAGCAGAGCCGGCTCCCGATCGTCGTCCACGAGTGCAGCAAGTACCAGGAACAGCGGGTGCTGAGCGGGCAAGTGTTCCAGGTCATCGGTGCAATCGTCGTACACTATGACTTCCTTGAACTGCCTCTTCCTGAGCAATTCTTTGCTCTCGCGTGCGGTTGCGAGATCGGCGAGAGTAGCCTTCCCCAGCTGGAGTCTGCGTCGGTTGAAGCGATCCGAGCAGTTGACGTTGATGGCACCGCGCACGTGATTGACGTTGTACAGTATAAACGGCCGACAATCGAGAATCACGGGGGGCGGTACGGCGGAGGGTCGTTCGAGATGCACGAGACGGTGGGCGAGGTCGTCGGCGGTGATGACGCGGGTCTTGCTTAGCACTAGCTGGCGATGAAGGCCGTTCTCGGCGCAGGGGCTGGTAGGCAGGCTGGCAGTCTCCAGTTTGCAGCGCTTCGTCGTCACCGACAGATGCTGATGATGGTGAAGATGATGAAAGTGGTGGTGATGGTGGTGATGGTGGTAGTGGAGATGGTGGAAGCCACGACGGTGGCCGTCGTCGTCCGCGTCGTCGCCGTTCGTCTCCTCGTTGATCACGATCGAGGGCGGTTCGGTGGGATTGCCGTTGCTGCTGCTGTTGTTAGTGTTGACGATCGGCGAGGCGACCGGCGGTGCCGGGAAGGCGCAGGGACTCGGTCCTGGCTCGCTCAGGCTGCGGTTCAGCACGAGCTTCAGATTGGCCCGAGGCCGGCCAGCCGATACTGGCTCGCAGCATAGCAGGGTAGACATCGAGGAGGACGATGGAATTCGGTCTTGAGGCCGATGGTTGTGTTGGTTGTGTTCGCGGTGATGATGCTGGTGGTGGTGGTGGTGGTTGTGGTGATGGTGGTCGTTGGAGCTCGCGTCAATGGTGCTTACGTCGTGGCACGGTCCTGCGGTCGGCGCTGAAACGTCAACGATCGGGATACGTCAGCAGTTTTTTTCACTCCTTTCTCCTTACGTCAGTTGATACGGAACGAATCTCCATATTCGCGCATTCCTTCTTCGCGTGTTTCGCGCATTTCTCGCGGCCCGCCATTGGGCTCCGCATTGGCGGATCGAAAACTCGCGAAGAAACTGATTAAAATTAACGGATAAGGAGGAAAGTTATCTCTTTCGTGTCAACTAAGTTATAAAAATTGTATTAGTTTTCATATTTAAATGAAACTAATGGAGAATAAAAATATCTTTTTACCCCCTTGTTATCTATTTTTACACAGTTTTTACCTTCCCATATTTTCTATCCCCGTGTTCACAATTTATAATTTGCAATAATTTCGTAAAATTTCTAATGCTTCTAGTACTTCGAGGCTTCGAATTATTCAGATTCTAAATTAAAATCCGCAAACTTCTTTCAATTTTTTACCACCTTGAAGTCACTGATCTCATCTTGACTGCAAATACTCAAAAATGCGAGGAATGTTAGTATAATCAAATTGATAAAGAAGTATAAAGTCCGCGTGTCTTTGAATTAAAGCCTCCTAATTTTGGCGCGGGAGAATACGTAAATAATTGGAATGTTTCTACACTCACATTATAAGGCGTCCTTGCGTTATTCCGTTCTTTTAGTTGGTTACAATTCTAATTTGGCAGTTGGATGCCGACCAATGTGCGTTACGAAAGATCTGTTGTAAGCGACGCGATGTACTAAGTTAGAAATTACGTGATACACCCGGGATTCGCTAGCATGCGATTTGTTTGTTTTTATAAATAACGCCGCGTACTTTACCCGCGTGTCACTCTGTCTTAAATTCCTAGATCCTTGGACTTTGCAGTTTACGAATTTTTGCTCTGACAATTTTTGCCTTTTTTTTAGTGACTTCTGAAGTCATCTCGATATATCAAAATATCTCAAACACACGAAGAGCACGCGAGTCCAGCACATGCCAGTTGCCGCATCGTTGAAGCTAAATGAGTCCTAGTTTCTGAGTTCTCTACCTATTCAAGTATCGAAGACATCTCTGGATCGAATAAAGATCGCACTTGGATCATTCGCATTTGTATTATTTTTCATTTTCACATTCGTGAATATAGAGGAAAGTCCTCTGTTATGAGACAAGCTCCTAATATGAGATAGCGGAGTTTCAGCTAAATTAATAGGCATCGTCCGTTGGTTCCACCATGAATTTATTGCCCTTGGTGTGAAATCTGTTTAGTGGAAAAGTTAGATCGTGAGATCGTTGCGAAAAAAAGATTTACGATATAATTTCGACGTTGAAAACCTACTATCTCATATTAGAATTCTGTCTCATAATAGAGGAATTTCCTCTATCTTATATTTCTCAGTAGATTTGAGTCTTTTTAAGTTTCTGCGAAACCAATAGAATTAGATCGAATCAAGTAATACTCTGTAAGAATCAACGGCCGATTAAACGGGAAACCATCGGTTACTCTTTCCCTCCCTCCCTCTCTTTCTCTCTCTCTCTCTTGCTCGACCACTCTCCCACTTCCCTTCCGCCATCGAAGTTTCTCTCCGGCCCCGAGAAGTCTTCGAGTTCGTTCTTTCGTATGAGTAAACGCTGTGGAATTCGACGCTTCGAGCGGCAAGTGAGACCCCGCAACTAGCGATGGGCCCGATACCCTCGCAATACCTATCGATATCTCTCGTGAACGCGGTTGTATGTACAAAGAGGCATTATCAACCAGTCCGAGAAAGCTGCCGGGGATACGTTTACTCGCGAAAAAGCACTTGGTGAACGCATTAATTTACATAAAATCACCATACGGAAACTTTTTAGGAAAGTGGACTTTGTATATCGTAACGTTATTTTTCGCAATGTGCATGAAATTATTCAATAGCGATGCAAACGCGAAATATTCCGCATCGTATGCCTCTAACACGACAAAATTGATAGTAGGTTTTCAACGTCCAAATTCTGTCGTAAATCTTTTTTCGCAACGATCCCACGGTCTAACAATCAATTTTAACTAAAATCCACCCGACGCGTTATTCAAATTCATTCAGAACTTACAGATTAAATTTCAAGTCCGTAAATAAATTTCATTTCAGTAAATTCCATATTAAAACTTTTCGCTTATACTTGGCGCGAGACACTACCGTGTATCGTGATTTCTTCCATTTCCAATTTACTTCAATAAGGGGGAAATAAATAACTTGAAAACGCGACATATATTTTTGTCATTTATCTATCGTTGGTAAATTTCGTTAGCGGACAAGACTTCTAAAAGGCGTTTGTCATTCGTTAACAAAAAAAATTCACTATTAATTTTCCATAATAAACATTGCAAGATTAAAGTTTAAGGAAGCAAACTGCACAAATGTCCTAATACTTGACTTCTCAGTTAACTTTCGTGCAACACTTGGCGAAGGTACCGTCTTTAATCGCGGTTTTAATATCCGCGATAAACAAATCGCGAAGCATAATGAGCGCGCTTACGCTAAGGGAAAGTCCGTCTCGCATTTTTTAAAGAGTCTGTCATTGAGAACTAACGCGATATTCATGGAACGGGTCGCGCCGTAAATAAAGTAATAATTTATTGTCGCGTTGGCTAAAATAAAGATAAAAGGATATTTGTTTGGGACTATCGCTACTCGCAACCTGACCTGGGCATTCAGCTTGCGGACAGGTGTAGCACTGACACCTGCCGTCGTACGGAATACGTCGCCCCGCGCTCTCCCGTTCACCCGAAAAGAATGATAATTTCTTCGGATTAATCCGCGGCCTTTCACACTCGTCTCATTATTTCAGCCGTGAGCGCCGCATTTGCCAAATATCACGGATCGCAGCTGTGATAAAACACGCGTATAAAGAACTTCGGGACACACAAAGTTGAAAAAGGTCTAACGACACATCCGCAGATTTGAAAATTCAAAGATCGAGACACGCGCTTCGGTATTCGAGGGTGCTCTCGGGGATTATCTCGATTGCCTGGAATTTAGCGACTCGTCACGTGAAAAGGAGCCGGTGATTTAAAGCGCACTTGAACAATTTTAAATTACACCTTTGTCTACTTAGATTTAAGAAATAATAGCCCGAGCACCTCTCATTTACGTCGCAATTCTATTCCTGGTCTGCAGCAATTAACTGGTTAAAACGTTCGGAACACTCGCGGACAATTAGAAATACAATCGCGAACTATAGATTTGTATTACCTTTTTTGTTCACCCGGTGGAAACCCTCATGGGCCGTCACCTCCCCCTTCTGGGAAGGTGAGATTTGTATTACCTAGCATTTTCGAGCATTCTAACTGAAATCGCCTCTTGCTAAAAGATCCAAAAGTTATACTCATTTGTGTGTAAAACTTATGCACGTAAGCACCTACCGAAATCGGATATGAAGAATTGAATGACAATGCAGTGGTGCTTATTGCCGGCAGTAATGAATGAAACGAAGTCGCGAATTTATAGTCGACCAAGCTTTAATAAACTAATCTCTCGCCAGTTAGGTTGACTACAAATTTGCGACTTACAACTGAATAAGTTGCACGAAAGGGCAGGTTCTCTGCTTTGATATACATAGAAGCCGAGCACCCCGAGAGGGGACGTCCCTTTTCCACTTTCGGAATTTTCTCTGAAAATTTATCCTCGAAATCACGTAATCGTGAGACAACGCGGCATTTCGTAGAATTTTATGCGAGTTTTCAAAATTTTACCGTGCATTTGACTAGTAAACAACTTTATGAGAGATAATATATTACTAGTAAAATTTCGAAAAACTCATCAAGTTGTTCGCAAAATGCCATGTTATCCCACGATGGTCAGGGTAAATTTTAAGAGAGAACGGGTGATACTTGAGAAGGACCAGTATTACTGGTCGAAACGTCGTGTATTAATTGAAAATATACTGTGCCAGTTATCGTCGATATAATCCTTTTATTGTTGTGTTTTACTCACTGGCGATCCACCTCTGATCTATTGTTCAAGAGAGAATTATCTCCGTGTATCAAAAGAACGTCTACGCGATTTCGATCCGCACTGTTTCGTGACTCGTGGAAAGTCTTGAAAGATACGGCTCAATTAAACGCCTACGCAGAAATAGAGTAATCTAACGGCCGAGGCGTCCCGAGTGTTTTAATTCTCGACCCGCGCATCCGAGGCACCGGACAGATCGAGGGACGTACGGGCCGCGTTTCAATTGCGGAATCTCGATATCGCGAATCCGGTGAGCGATCGGGGATAAAACAGGATCGAAAAGTACGCGCGTCACCCACGCGCCTGGGCGACGGGAAAACTCCAGGAATCTCGACTACACACCTTGCATCTACATGTCCAGAAACCGAGAGGTCCGGCGATTTCCGAGCGCCCCAGTTTTCGGTCCACACGTCTCGGCGAACGGACGCGAGTCCCCGCGGAATATTACATCCGAAGGCCCCCGGTTACGCACTCTCGACGCGGTACCATCCGCGAGTACGTGATCTTATCTCGTGGATCGAGGAACCGGGAGAGAGAGAGAGAGAGAGAGAGAGAGAAAGAATGAGAGAGAGAGAGAGAGAGAGAAAGAGA